ATCATTCCCCTTATGGATCTTTTCCACCTTCCCTAAAGGCCATCTTGCTGGATGACAATTCTTATCCTTCAATAATACAATTTGTCCCTCTTCTACATTAGAACTTTCCCTTTTCCATTTGTTTCTTTGCTGAAGTGTATGTAAATACTCATTTTTCCATTTTCCCCAGAAATCTTTTTTCATTTTTTGGATAAGTCTCCACATATCCAAATTTCCGATTCTTTCGTCTTTCGTTTTTTCGACGATTTCTAAGGGAGGTTTTCCAATCAAAAAATGACCTGGTGTTAAGAACTCTTCTTGGTCCATTTCATTAACTATTGTGTATTGAATTTAAGCATGCTTCTATTTGACATAAAAGCGTAGACATTTCTTCGTATGTCAAACTAGTATGGCCGATTACTCTTTTTAAATGGTATTTCATTGATTTAACCCCAGCTTTCCAAATACCTACGAAGTGAGGTCCTGCCGGGGAAATAAAATACCAATCAATCCTATCCTTTTCCAGCTGCGCAGCAATCATTATATTTTCTTGGATTGCATTTAACAAGTCCTGATCTAATTTTCTTGCAGCTCCTACAAATTTAGTTCCGTTATATGAATAGATATTGGCACATTTCCCTCGTCTAGCAATGAATCTTCTGAGTGCTGCTAAAAATGCATCCAAAGTTAGATCACTCACCATTTCTAAATGTATGGCCATACAAACAAATACGGCAACGTATCCCTTAAATGTTTTTTGTCCTCGAGTTTTCGAACATTTAACAAAATAACAACCTGCGTAATCTATTCCAGTATTTAAAAATGGAAATGACATCGTAACTCTACATTTTGGCAAATTGCCCATTATTTGCTGATCTGTATTTTGCCCATACCTTGCACACTTTACACAAGCTCTCAAATATTTTTTCAGCGAATTCTTCAAACCGAAAATCCAATATTTTCTTTGAATATAATTTCGCAATAGGTTTATTCCTCCATGCAATCTTCCTCCTACCCTAAGTGTTCCATCCTTATCCAGAAAGGAATTCAAAGACAATATTTTATTATTTGTTTTAATTTCTTTGTTTGTTTTTAGGCACTTTATCTCTTGACTGAATTCATATTTCTGTTGTTTTTTAATAACATTCTTTCCAGCTATTTTCAACTCCTTTACTGTGAGATAGGATGGATACAATTCATTCTTGGTTTTTATTTGAATGAAACTGTTTATGTATGCTGATACTCGTATAAGTTTTTCTATACTGGAATACCTTTTTTATTAATTTGTAAATAGGATCATTTGTTTCGTCAGTTAATACTGAATTTATTTGTACCGATTCCTCAATTGGTTGTTGCCCCGGCCAAAGTTCCTTTGGGTCAGATAGCCATTTCGGACCTTTCCACCAAAGATCACAATCAGTCAACTGGCTAGAATTAATTCCCCTAGATGCTAAATCTTCTGACTTTACATGATTCCATTCAGCATTTGCCAATTTACGAATGTCATCCGTTCGTCGTCTGATAAATTTAATTTTACTTTGCCCATTGTTAATCCATGCTAGAGTAATAGTCGAATCACTCCATGCATAGATCTCTAAGGTATTGTCAAGAGATCCTTTTATTCTTTGGATTAATTTACTGAGCAAATGAGCTGCGCACAGCTCTAGTATCGGAATTGTCTTTCTTTTTTTTATTGGGTTGACTCTACTTTTGCTTGCTATTATATTTACTTTATTTCCTACTTTGGCATACACTACTGCAGCATATGCCTTTTCGGAGGCGTCAGCAAATCCATGAATCTGTATAATAGAATCATTACTTGAATTTATCCATCTTGGGATTTGAATATTTTCTAAGAACAATACATTTTAAATTGATCCCATTCACTTTTATTTAACCAAAGTTTTTGAATAAAAAGTTTTCCTACAATAGTAACTGGTGCCAACCATCCTAATGGATCGTATATTTTTGATAGTGTTGATAACACTACCCTTTTATTAGTGACTTTGGATTCCGTGCAATTTACATTAAATTTCAACAAATCATTTTAAGGTTCCCATTTTAATCCCAAAGTTTTTACACTTTCATTTTCTACAATACTGAGTACCTTATTATCACCTGTGTCCTCCACAGTTGACAATATTTCAAAATTATTGGAAATCCATTTCCTCTAATTAAATCCCACTTTTTGTAGCCCCTGGGAAATTAATTTGATCAACTTATTTGCTTCATCTATCGAATCAGCTCCTGTCATTAGGTCATCCATATAGAAATCATTCCTAATTATTTCACTTACAATTTATCTGCAATATCTACTAAAACTCTTGTAGCTAGATATGGGGCAGATGCAGTACCGTAAGTAACTGTTGTTAATTTATAATTTTTTATTTTTTGATCTGGAGTATTTCCCCATAAAATATATTGATATTTTTGGTCATTTTCATTTATTTATATGTGACGGTACATTTTTTTTCAATGTCCGCTGATACCACAAATTCCCATTTTCTCCATTTAATTATAATATCAAAAATATCCTTCAGAACTCGTGGCCCAACCCACATAATGTCATTCAAACTTTTTTTGTTAGTAGTTTTTGCTGAAGCATCAAAAACTACCCTTACTTTGGTTGTAAGACTTGAATCACTGCCTGGTGCGGTAAGAAATACTTTCCTTCATCTTGCACTTCAACCATGTGTCCTAAATCCATATATTCATTCATGAATTTAGTATAGTCAAACTTTAATTTTTCATTTTTATTTAATTTCTTTTCCAGATTCATGTAACGTGCCATCGCTTGTTTTCTTAATTCTCCTAAGGTGACATCTTGTTTAAAAGGAATTGATACTATGTATCGCCCATCTGAGTCTATTTTTGTTGTTTTTGTGAAATTATTTTCACAAAACTCAGATTCGATATCATTTTTGTCTTCTTCCTCTAATTCCCAATATCGATCTAACTCATTTATTTGAATCGTTGTTGCTACGATTTTTTTGTTTCCTTTGAACTTTTTACATCCTGAAACAATCCACCCGAAAGCATTTTTTTGCCCAAGAAGCCCGTTTATTTTCACAGCTTTTCACAGTTTGTATGATGTGAGTTTATAAATCTGCTCCGACAATTAGATCAATACGACCTGCTTTATCAAATTTGGGGTCAGCTAAATTAAAGTCCTCCCATTTTTCTTTGTCAACATTAACTGTGCTGACTGGAAGAGCCTTCATAAGTTTGGGAAGTATTAATGCTTCAATTTTTAACGTTTTTTGAGAATTTTTGGTTTTAATTTCAATTATAGCTTTGTGCTTGGATATGCACTATCCTGTGGATGAAACTCCACTGACCTCTGTTTGAGATCTAATTCTGTTCAACTTCAAAATCTGCGCTGATTCTTCAGTAATAATTGTGCTTTGTGACCCACTGTCAATCAAGGCTCTAAAATTTTCAAAATGTCCTTGAGAGGATTTTATTTGAATATTTGCAGTAGCCAATAATGCCTGCTCCGACGTCACACATGTATTCACCTTTTCACTATTTTGTTTAAAATTTATATGTAGCATGCTATGGTGATTTCTCTTGCACAGCGAACTCGTTACTTCGCTAGTGCATTTTTTTATTACATGGGTATCTTAGACATTTAAAACACAAGAAAGCTTTCTTAACTTTTTCCATCCTTTCTGATGGATTTAACGCTTTAGATTTATGACAATAAAATATTGTGTGACCCACACCTTTGCAAATGGGACAACTGTTTGTGAACAATTCTTTTGAATTGTTACTAAATATTTTTTTAACAGGTTTTTCATCCTGAAGTGAGCTTAGCGAACTTAGTCGTTGCTCTAAAAATTGTGATGTTGGACAATAATTGAATTTCCTTTGCTTTTTGACATGGCTCTCGTATAATTGTAGAGCTTCTTTATTAAATTTTTTAATTACTATATGTGCAAAGATTATATCCACTTCATCGGATATTTGTGCCTTTAATTTTATCAAGTGAATTGACCCGTTTATCGTGTCAATGAACACTTTCAATTGCTTTCCTGAGTCAATATTTAAACATTGAAGCTCAAGAGGGCGATTCAATTGGTTGGAAAATATTTTCCGTTTATTTTCGTACCGCTTGGTCAACAATTCTCAAGCGGCCTCGTAATTATCCCCTGATCCCAACAATAAGTGAGAAACCACATTACGGGCTTCTCCCTTAAGAGATATCTTTAAATAATTAAATTTTAAGGTAGGATTTGGTCCTCTCTTAAATGTATGAGCTCAGTAAATAACTCATAAAATAAGTCCCAATCTTTGGAGTCTCCAGAGAATGTGTGTACTTGTATTTTGAGTAGAGTCGGCAACTCGTCAATTTTTTGACTTGTGCTTTCAACCTTACTAGACACATTTATAATTTTTTCTTCATATTATTCGTGACAGTGATAATGTCAAATTCTAGTTCATCTAGAATATCGTCAAACCCCCTAGCTGTGACATCAGTCATTTCGACTTCTTTTAATGAAACAACCTTCTTCCAGTAAAAATCCAATTTATCGATCCTAATCTCAAATGAATTTACACTATTTTCCTTAATGTCGTCAAAGGTTTCTTTTAAATATTTATTTAATTGGTCTATCGCCCTTTCCAGTCTGCTCGAGCTACCTACTTCATTTTTTTTAACATCCTTGCTGCTACCTGTGCCTGAGTCTATCTTGATTTTATCTGTCTTGTCTAAAGTTTCGACTATGCGTGCTTCTATTTTTTCAAAACCTAGCATCATCTGTTCATAGTGTCTATATTTGAAGTAATCGTAATCGATTACTCCCATTTTTAAAAGAGCCGAGTGATTGTTTATACTCTTGGCTCTAAGTGCGTCAAAGGTTCTCATATATTCGAATGTCAAGCTCGGGAGTTCAAGTAACTCCTTACTGCTCAACGTGATTTCTACTTGCCTTTTAATAAGGGCAATCGTTAGAGCGTACAACATGTATGTTTAATTTAACTTAATTTAGTATATTAAAAAAACCTTAAAATTCACTTACCTGCTTACGCTGCCGTGTGGCTGTAGTTGTCGTTGCTGTCGCCGATAAGTTGCTGCAGTAGTTGTTGTAGTCTCTGGCGTTGCTGCTTCTGCTGATGTTGTTGCTGCTTCTGCTGATGTTGTTGCTGCTTCTGCTGATGCTGTTGCTGCCGCTCACACGTTACTGCTGTAGTCGTTGTAGTTGGTGGCTTTAGATGTCTTCAACTTTTTTTTTTTTAAGTTTGTTATATGTTGATTTTTAATATTATTATTATTTTTGTATATCCTTTTGGCATTATTTTTTCTTTTTTCTTGATCTTCTCTGTAAGCTCACGGAACTGTCACAACTGGGATTTAATGTCGGTAGGATTTTTTCTTTTTACTTTCACTTGTCACCACTTTTTCGATGTTTATGGCCTCGAATACGCCCAATAATTTATCACCGATTTCGATGTTTATGGTTTCGAAATAACGCCAAATATTTATTTGCATGATAGCAAATTTTATTAAAAAATTTTATATTTTTCACAATTTTTTTTTTTTAACAAAGAATAAATTTTTTGTTTTTAATAATTGTGTAAATTTATTAAGCAATAAAGATTCTTGTCTATCCTTATGCTTTATTAATTTATGCTCTGATTCTTACCGGGGAAATCTAGAGCCAATTATTTTTGCAACCTGTAGCTTTTTAAGTGTTACCACTTAGCAGGACCGTTCTTTTTCTCTGAGTCTCTTACCAATGGTGTGGGAGAACGTCAGAGTTGCGAAGGACCAAAATGAAAAGAAGGTTTAAATAAAAACAATCTTCATTCGTTGAGTTCTATTGCAAAACTGATTTTATTTTTAATAAAACCTAGCTTAGGTAGCTAACATGTGAATCGACAAATGTTCTTATCTTTAGACCCACGGATCGGCACATCCCCGATCGTGGGAAACGGTTCTAAGTGCGATAAAAGATATCTCTGCTACCCCGATAGCACTTATCTTTTAACATAGTGCGACCGCTCGCAGGAGGTCATATTACATGTCAAGTGTTTTCGATACCGCGTTGTATCAGGCTCAAGTGGGCGCTGCCAGGCCGCAGTTTTTTGGTACAGATACAGATTTTATTACCTAAACATCCGCAGCCTTTACATATCTAATATAAACATAGTCGTGTTCGTCTGAACACATTGGTTTGAATTTGTCTTTCTTAATAATAAAAATTATAATAATTCGTGTTCTTATGAACATTCTACCAAAGGCCCGGCAAGCTTGACATTTAGTTAACAATATATTTTATTTTCGACATTTGTGCAAACAATGATTAAGTGGTCGGTACATTTTTTATAATTTTTAACATATTTATATATATATATCATTTACTTAATTATTTGCCATTAAATTCCTGGCAACAGGCCGGCGAATGTTATGGCTTCTAATCTTTGCCTAATCAAACATTTTTTTTACAAAATATATTATCAAAATTGCCATAACTATCAATGAAAGTATAAGACCAGCGTGTCCGGAAATATGATGGAAATGCAAATCTTTCAATTGTGAATGATTTTCTTTCAGATCTTTAATTTCTTTCCTTAATTTATTAATTTCAATTGTATTTTTTAATGGGGTTAGTTTCAACGGATCCCACATAATATTAGGAACTTTACTTACATCTCCTATGTATGGTGTTGACAGAATCTGTTCACTTTCCGATTGAATATTATGATGTGCTATTAAAATGTTGTCATCCGTTCTTGCAGTACAATACGAGAGCGAGTACATTGCACCCTTATTTTGGTATTAAGCGAATCCTTAAACAACCAACTACTTTTCTTTTCCAATTCTACCCAGTAACTTGTGGAACCAACTATGGTTTTATATACGCAATTCGAAGCTCTATTTGGTTTTAACGGTTGAACCTCACATGCGTTGTCATTCGCGGAGTTCCAGGGCCAATTTCCTTTGCATATCCTTTTACCTTGTTACCATTTTTGACATTGATTTAATTCACTCATTAAATGATATGAATCGATTTCAAAATGCCTACTAAACAAAGGAACCTTTGCACTGATGATTAATTAATTCTCTATAAATTATCCCCTCGCTGTCAATAAACTATATACCTCCTTAAGTTCCGTTCCTGACCTCTTCCCTGGAAGTATTAGATTTTCCGACAGATTTTCGTGAATTTTGGCAATTTCACTTTTAAGCTGATTTGACCTAAGGATATTTGTATTCAGCCTACCATGATTAATATCTATTAAAAGGTTTATACCCCTGATTCGACTTTCTCACCTTCTTCAATCAATGATTGAAGCTGTTTGGTTACCATAAAGAATTTTATCGATTTTTTGTACACATAGTAATTCTCCTTAAGAACTTCTGCCATGTTCTCGATTCTTAATTGCATACTCCTAAAATTGGCGTTAACGTCCTCGGTTGTTCTTTTTAATAAATTAGTAGTTGAATCAACAATTGAAGTTTGCTTTTGAACCAATTTATCTATGTTCCTCTGATTGTCTAATAAGTTCTTCATATTTTCTTCAAATTGTTCCCTGTCATTTTCATCCATTATACCGAATAAAATATGATACAATGAACCCATAAACTCGAAAGGAGCACGCTTGGTTCTGGATCTCGGTTGCATCATGAATAATTTATTATTCTCTTCTAGTTCTAATATCTGATTTTGCATATTATTCAAAACTAGATGGCATTGGTCTTCAAAGCTATGAAGTTTGTCACAAACTTTTCTCATTGCCCTTATCAGAGCTTTTCCTTTTGAAATCATCTTGAAATATGCATCCATGTTATAATAAATTACTAAATTCCACAATTTCCACATCTCCTAGTGGATCTTAATATATTGCCGGAGTACTATTTATTTTTTGTACATCAAACACATTCTTTTTGGGTTTTATAGCTGAAGCACTGGATACCTGACAAACTAAAGCAATAAAAGTCAATATCACTATGCTATCTAGTTTAGATAACCTATGGGAAACTCTTTTTTTATGGCTTACGGTCGGAGTTGTGGTTGCATCCTCAGCTTGTTGTACACCAATTAAAGGTCAAATCTTGCCAATCGGCCTCGTCAATGATGCTTCTGAGGTTTTTACTTTGACAACCCTAACTTTATCGTCCCTGCCTTTATGAATTTCTTCTACTTTTGCCATTGGCCATTTGGCTGGGTGACAGTTTTCATCTTTTAAAAGCATTATTTGCCCTTTTTCTATATTTTGACTACCTTTTTTCCATTTATATCTTTCTGCAATGTATATAAATAATCCTCTTTCCATTTGACCCAAAAATCTCTTTTCATTTTTTGAATTAACCTCCACCTATCTAGGCTCACAATTTTTTCATTTTCTTCAACTGCCTCCACTATATCAATCGTTGGTCGACCTATTAAGAAATGCCCGGGCGTTAGCACTTCATTATCATCCACGTCTTTTCCTGTCATATATAGTGGTCTAGAATTAAGTACTGCTTCGATTTGGCATATAAGGGTTGACATTTCTTCGTATGTCAATATACTATCTCTAATTACTCTTTTTAAATGATATATTACGAACTTAACACCTGCTTCCCAAATACCTCCAAAGTGAGGTCCTGCCGGCGGGATAAAATGCCACTGAATTTTTTCAGTTTCCTTTTCTGCAGCTACTTTGGAGTTATATTGTCTAGCTTTTACTAAATCTTCGTCTAACTTCCGTGCAGCTCCTACAAAATTAGTACCATTATCCGAATATATATTGGTACATTTTCCTCTTCTCGCTATAAATCTTTGTAATGCTGCTAGGAATGCATCAGAAGTTAAATCATGACAACTTCTAAATGAATTGCCTTCGTAGCCATACATACAAACACTGATATATAGCAGTTAACTAAGTCAACCGGGCGACGGCAATGACCGACTGTCCGAGAGTTCGCTCCGGCCAAATTGCTGACACAGCGTCTGGCCGGAAGCCCGTGCATAGCCGGCAAGCACTACCCATTGGAGTGGCCGCTATGATTCTCTTTTCATGTTAGCTTTAAGTTCAGTTCATTTCAAAGTTTCAATAAAGACAGAGCCATCGCTCTCGTATATGAATTCCGGCACCGCCGATACACAGAAAATTACTTTCATTATTATTGGTTGTTGAGCCTTAAGGGCCAGCGATAACGGAGGTAGTTCCTCCCTACGTAACACTCAACAAGTGAAAGAAGTCTACTAGGCGCACCTGCCTGGAGCGCTTCGCAACCTCTAAAGAAGGAAGGAAGAACACTAGGTCGACCGGCCTGGCTCACCCCCTCCCGCTGACGACATAACGAAAGTTACCAGCTGTCTTCTAATTGGCGCCCACGTTAAAATTACCCATCTAAGTCGGGGAAATCATGTAAGTAAGCACTTCTGTTCCAAAAATTTTCCGGCATCTGCATTAGTAAAATATTTCAATACGCTATATTTTCTGCAACTCTATATTAAAGTTTCGTGCTAACATTTTTATAAATAAACGTACTCACTAATTGTTTGACAATTTTATTGGTGTAATCACAAGTGATATTATTTATGTTTTTCATTGTTTGCATTTTTTTAAATCTTTTCAATAAATATCTTGGTGCCGAATATTAGCACCAATATAACTACCAGACCACATATTTAATAGCCAGCCTAGACGCAAAGGCGCCGCTGGAATATAAATTTATTAATTGTACATTTAATTTACCCTTTATATGTAGTCGTCTTTTTGCTTACGCCTAAATTCTTTGTGTTAGCTTCGCAACAATCTTGGGTTTGTTTTCGTTTTCATCGCTTACCCACCCCACTACGACACTCCGAACTCGACACCGCGACGTTTGTATTCCGATTTTGTTAACTCGCCTTTTTTTTGTCTTTCGGAACGGCAACTTAGCCCAGTCCCCGCAACCCCCTTCCCCTTGTCATTGCTCAGCAAGACATCGGTTCAATTTTTCAACGAGCCCTCGGCCATCGTTACCAAGCGGCATCTCAGCCCCCGCGGACCCCCGCCATGCCCACGGACAAGTCCGCTTGAGCATGCATTAAATCGCTGGGCCGAGTTAGCTTGCTCAGCTCTATATGAGCAACCCATTCCAACAATACAGGAACAACAAGCAGATCCCCAGCGACTCTGAATCTGAAACCGAAGGGCCGGCAAGAACTTCTACACCGAAAAGTGTAAACGTCGGCACTCCCTCGGCCAGAAACATGGCATTCAACCCAGACCAAATAAAAGCGGTAGTGGAGGCTGCCGTCAATCATGCCCTACAAGAAGCGGCCATTGACAGCCAGCGCAGGGAAAATGAGTTGCGCCAGACTATTCAACAGCTGGCCAACCAAGTGGCGGCAATACAAGTCGCACCCGCCCCAACAGTAGCTCCTCAGATTAAGGTTTACACACCCATAGATATTAATAACACCGTCGTTTGTAATGAACCACTAGACGCCGTCAAATGCCTGCCCGAATTTTCGGGTGCCCAGGAAACATACGTCTCCTGGCGACAGGCGGCAGTAGGCGCATACTATAACAAAAAAAAAACAATTTCCCAAGGCGCAAGAGCGTCAGCAGGCTGCCCCTCAGGCTAATTCACAACATAGTGGCGGTAAAAACCCCCATTTTACTAAGCAACACAAGGCACAAGTGCACTCTGCCCCACGCAGCGATAGGCACCGGGGACACACTCCTGAACCCATGGAAGTGGATCCATCATTGTCTAAAATGCTTAAACCATCACAAGCTCCGGCATACCAGAATAGGAGGCAGGCAGCGTCCGATAGAGCCAACCCACAAAAAAGGCAAAGGGTTAACCACATTGCCCAGAGCGCTGACAGAGCTGGTGATACGTACACCACAGCGGCCTCTAGCGCGGCACAAGAAATCGACGACGACGCCATCTATGAGTATGACTCGGATGCCATAAATTTTTTAGGGGAAGATCCCTGCTACACGTCATCAGACGAAGAGTAGCGGGGATTGACATGAAATTTCTAGTTGATACGGGCGCGGCCAAAAATTTCATCCAACCATACGAAGGATTGAAAGGCGTCCGCCCGGTAGAATCTCCATTCAAGGTTCATTCGATCCATGGAGTAACCAACATCACGAAGAAATGTTTCGTGTCAATTTTCAACTTGAAGGCCACATTCTTCATTTTACCGGATTTGTCCTCTTTTGATGGAATCATCGGCCTTGACCTTTTAAAACAGGCAGGGGTGTCACTTTGTCTGGCCTCCGGTCAGCTCAAATGGGGCACGGAAGTAGAGAGCATCGACTTTCATACATGTCCTGATATAAATTTTACTGAGGTGGACTGCTCTGATGCACCACCTTTGGCCAGAAAAGCATTTTTAAAAATGCTCAGCGACAGGAAAAAAACCTTCGCAGACCCCAACGAGGCCTTGTCCTACAATACGTCGGTGGTTGCCACCATCAGAACCATTGATGAGACTCCCATTTATGCCAAACTTTACCCATATCCAATGGGGGCAGCTGATTTTGTAAATAGCGAAATCCAAGATCTGCTAAAAAATGGCATCATCCAAAAGTCGAAGTCCCCCTACAATAACCCAATATGGGTCGTAGACAAAAAGGGCACCGACGAAACTGGCAGGCGGAAAATGCGTTTGGTATTGGATTTTCGCAAACTAAACGAGAAAACAATACCCGATCGGTACCCCATGCCGAACATCTCGATGATATTAGGAAACTTAGGCAAGGCCAAGTACTTCACAACCCTGGACTTGAAGTCCGGTTATCATCAGATC